GGCGTCGAAGCGGTGGGTGGGGGCACGTTGCCCTTACATCCGACGCCACGGGAAGAATGCGGCATCGTAGACAAGAAAACACCAGGACCGATACGTGGGCGACTCCAGAAGCCCTGAACTCAACATGATCGACCCACGAACCCGGAAAGGAATATAGAAATGTAAGACATGGCAACGTTTCAAAGACACCTGATTGGGCGACGGGCAAATGCAATGCTTAGTGTATCGGCCTTGATGTACCGTGCCGAGGGCTGTGCTGTGCTGTGCCGTGCTGAACTGCGATGTGCCATGCCACGAGTGTGCTCTATAGCGTTGTGGATCGAGTCCTCCTTTGCATCCGAGTCCTGACCGAACTGATCTTGATCTTAAGCTCGAGCTGCCTGAGCACATAACTAGTAGCTGCCCCAGAGTTGATTGACAAGGGAACATGCCAGGAGGACGCGCCGCAGAACGTCCCAAGGGACGCGCCAGGCGACGTGCCAAGGGACGTGCCATGGGGACGCACCGCGGGACGTGCCAAGGGGACGCGCTACGGAATGTGCCAATGGACGTGCCACGGGACGTGCCAAGAGACGCACCAAGCGAGGTGCCAGGGGACGTGCCATGGGGACGCACCGCGGGACGTGCCAAGGGGACGCGCTACGGAACGGGCCAATGGACGTGCCACGGGACGTGCCAGGGGACGCGCCGCGCGACGTGCCAGGGGGACTCGCCACACGACGCGCCACGGAACGTGCCAAAGAACGTGCCAAGTTGCAATGCTGAGTGAGTGTATCGATCTTGATGTACCGTGCCGCGGGCTGTGCTGTGCTGCGCCGTGCTGAACTGCGATGTGCCACGTGACGATTGTGCTCTATAGCGTTGTGGATCGAGTCCTCCTTTGCATCCGAGTCCTAACCGAACTGATCTGGATCTTAAGCTCGAGCTGCCTGAGCACATAGTAGCTGCCCCAGAGCTAATTCACGGGGGGCATGCTAGGAAGACGCGCCGCCGAAAGTTCCAAGGGACGCGCCAGGCGACGTGCCAGGGGACGTGCCATGGGGACGCACCGCGGGACGTGCCAAGGGGACGCGCTACGGAACGTGCCAATGCATTATGGACGTGCCACGGGACGTGCCAGGGGACGCGCCGCGCGACGTGCCAGGGGGACTCGCCACAGGACGCGCCACGGAACGTGCCAAAGAACGTGCCAAGTTGCAATGCTGAGTGAGTGTGCCGATCTTGATGTAATGTGCCGAAGGCTGTGCTGTGCTGCGCCGTGCTGAACTGCGATGTGCCATGTCGCGATTGTGCTCTACAGCGTTGTGGATCGAGTCCTCCGTTGCATCCGAGTCCTGACCGAACTGATCTGGATCTTAAGCTCGAGCTGCCTGAGCACATAGTCCACGCAGTAGCTGCCGCAGAGCTAATTGACAAGGAAACATGCCAGGAAGACGCGCCGCGGAACGTTCCAAGGGACGCGCCAGACGACGTGCCAGGGGACGTGCCACGGGGACGCACCGCGAGACGTGCCAAGGGGACGCGCTACAGAACGTGCTGGGGACAAGCGTCGTGTTGGTGGCCTGGACACGTAAAAACACAGTGCCAGCTCGGGGCAACCATTAGAGATACCCCCTGGGTGGCCTGGACACGTAAAACACGTGGTTCCAGCTCGGGACAATCATGTTAGAGATCTCCCTGGGTGGCCCGAGCATGAAAAAACACGTGGTTACAGCTCGGGACAGCCATGTTAGATACCCCTCTGCGTGACTTGGATACGCTGAATTCGCGCTCCCGCTCGAGACATCCTCACAACGTCTTCCCTGGAGAGGCCCCCAAAGCGCACCCCCCTGTTCAGAGCAAGAAGCCATCACTTGTCCTCATAATTCGGCGTTGGGCCCGACGCCATGTTAGATACCCCAACTCTGCAAAACCAGCGTTTCGCTCGAGACATCCTCAACAAATTCTGAAAAGCAAGCGTTTCGCTCGAGGCATCCCCCAACTCTGCAAAACCAGCGTTTCGCTCGAGACATCCTCAACAAATTATGAAAAACAAGTGTTTCGCTCGAGACATCCTGCCAAAATCCCAAGAAATCTAAATTCATGCGCGCGGGACGCGGCACGCGCGAGACATCCTCAGAATTCCTGCGCGAGGGGCGCTTTTCCGTGTCGCGGTCGGCTCTGCAAAACCAGCGTTTCGCTCGAGACATCCTCAACAAATTCTGAAACCAAGCATTTCGCTCGAGACATCCCCAACTCTGCAAAACCAGCGTTTCGCTCGAGACATCCTCAACACATTCTGAAAAACAAGCGTTTCGCTCGAGACATCCTCAAAAATTACACTACACCCGCGCTCCCAGGGCCACGATCCCTCATAAATTACGCTACGTCAGCGCTCCCAGGGCCACGATCCCTCGTAAGGGCTCCTGGGCCCTCCTGGGTCTTCATTTGACCTCTTGGGCCCTCCTGGGCTCTCCTGGAGCCTCCTGGAGCTTCTCCTGGGCCCTCCTTGGGCCCCCTGGTGCCTCTTGGAGCCTCCTGGGTCCTCCTGGGCCCTCCTGGGCTCTCCTGGGCCCTCCTGGGCTCTCCTGGGCTCTCCTGGAGCCTCCTGGGCCCTCCTGGGCGAAGTCAAGGTCCGAAAACACATGGGACTTGCCACATTTCTGAAATTCGGTGCCACCCCTCACGCAGGTCGGCGGGGTCAGGATCCGAAAACACAGGGGATTTGCCACATTTCTGGAATTCCGTGCCACCCCTCACGCAGATCGCGGGGTCAGGGTCCAAAAACACAGGGGATTTGCCACATTTCTGGAATTCCGCGCCACCCCTCACGCAGATCGGCGGGGTCAGGGTCCAAAAACACAGGGGATTTGACACATTTCTGGTATTCCGTGCCACACCTCACGCAGATCGGCGGGGTCAGGGTCAAAAAACACAGGGGATTTCTGCTATTTCCGAACTTATGCAACTTCAAGAATCCAAAACTCCGTTCCCAGCGCCGTTCCGGAGGCCGCGGTACCTCGTTATTTATCGAGCGAACGCGTTTACCTCGTTTTTTTTATCGTTTAAAGTCGATGTCGGAAAATAAGTGGACTTCACCTGTGAAATATCGAGGTTTCCTTAAAGGCAGTAAAATTCCAAGAGCACGATCTGCGTGAGGGGTGGCGAAATATGGCCTTCGTCCTCACAATTGAAATCCGCCGGCCCCCTTCGACCTCGTAATTTATCGCACAAGACTTCCGCCGGCCCCCTTCAAGTAAAAACCGGGGGGAAGACCATCTAAAAGAGAACCCTGGGCTCGAGCCCTTTCCGGGAAAAAAAGTCTTCCTCCCTCGGGAAACAGGCTTTACTTCTGCCACCTTCCGCCGCCCTTCTGCCGCCCTTCCGCCGGCGGAGGCGGCCTCGTCGTACCTCCGCCGACCTTCCGCCGCCCCTCCGCCGACCTCCGCGGCGGAAGAGACGACAGCTCCCCCGATCCTCGCAGGCAGGGCCCTTTTTCTGGAGCGCCCCGTGTGATGGCACTGGTGCCCGCACCCGGGGTCCAAAACTTGCAGCGCCTGGAGCTCAGGGATCCCTCCCTCTCCCCCCCCCCTAGGGGTCACATGCGAACCCTACCCCCCCCTCCCCCTCACCCCCCCCCTCCCTCTTTGGACGCCCGAAATGGGTACGGAAAGAATGGGTACAATGCCCAACAGCAAATGTTGCCCCAAACCAACAGCGGCCGCTGTTGGGCAGGCGGCCTTCCGTCTCGAATGGACACAGGCCGCGGCGGCGTGGAGAGCGAGTCCTGTCCAAAATGAACAGGTTCCGCTGTGTGGGCATTGTACCCATTCTTTCCGTACCCACGTCGGGCGTCCGGAGGGGAGGAAGCGGCTCGGAGCCGAGGCCCAGACCCTCCTCGTCTCGAAGGCCGGAGGGCTGCCGAGGAGCCCCGCCGCCTCCCGAGGAGGCCGGCCCTCCTCGCTCGCTTCCCCCCTTCGAGCAGGAGATCTGCTGCAGCTACACGTCGCTCCTTTCTCCTCGTGCTCATCTCTAGCTGTGCTCGTTTCTGATTGTTCCTGGCCCCCTAGGGGCCACAAAGAGGCCCAGGATAGAACAAGTAGCAATGAAAGGATCTTGGCCCCCAAAAGAATCACAGTGTGCAGCTGCTTTACCACAAGAATCCGCCACCGCGCTTGCAGCGGTGGGTGGGTGTGTGTGTGTGGGGGGGGGGGGAGGGCCCTCCCGCTCCTCGCGAAGCAGTAACTGGGGCCCCCCGGCGCATCGAGCCCAGGATGCGCTCATGTTCAGGACCGGGTCCCTGCGTTTGAGCCTCCCAAGCAAAAAGTGGCCCAAACACGGGGTCGGGGGAGGGACGTTCCATGGATTCTCTCCCCCCGCCCCCAGCGCCCGCCCCCCCCGCCCCCCCCGAGGCGCCCGCCCGAGCGCGGTGGCGGAACCACGCGCCAGCGCTACTGGATTGTTCTATTCGCCGAGAGTGTTCGCAGATCCACGGGAATACCATGCCACCGTTTTGCAGATTCGACGAACGCCCTCAAGCAACGCAAGTCCACCCTTGCATCCTCTCCTATCATCCCCCATCCCTCAGGGCCCCACCTTTGAACCACCGACCCTGGCCTCTCCGATCCTGGGGACTCCCAAGGGTACCGATACCGCTACTCCACTGCCCTCTCGTGGGGTGCGTTCTGCACCGGACTTCGAGGCGAATCTAGCGGTAGCGACGAGGGCTTCCCAGTATGCGGGACGGGAAAATGACCAAAGCCACTGCTTCTTGTTTGCGCCGCCTTCCAGCCGGCCGAAAAAGAAGCAGTGGTTGTGGTCATCTCCTTGGTGCCAAGCTCAACGAAAATGACCACAACCACTGCTTCGGTTCTGCTGGCTGGAAGGCGGCAACAAAAGACAAGCAGTGGCTGTGGTCGCTTTCACGTCCCGTACAGCCCAAAAGGGGAAAACGGGGGCAGGAGGAGGAGGAGGAGGAGGAGGAGGAGGAGGAGGAGGAGTGCAGCTTTCCCTCCCCGATCCTGGGGCGCCAGGAGGCACACGCTGTCGCCGCCGTGCACGGCGCCGGCCAGCCAGGGCACTGCCGCGGCGCCCCCGGCGTCCTCGCGGGCCAGCACGAGCGCTCGGAGCTCCCGAGAGGGCCCCCCGAAGGGCTCCAGAGCCTCGGCATCGTCGTCGACGTCGCCGTCGCCGGCGTCGTCGTCGCGCACGGCACCGGCCAGCAGTGCCGAACCAACAGCACACACCCATACCCATAGGGGGGTCGGAAAGGGCTATGGGTGCGTGTTGTCGGATGGGGGTCCCCGCTTGAACGGGAGCGTTCCCTAGGGTCCGACAACCCGCACCCATACCCATAGCCAGTCCTCCTCCCAACGACCCCCTGATGGGTATGGGTGTGTGTGTGTTGTTCGTTCGTCAAGCAAGGGCACGGCCGCGGGGTCCTCGGCGTCCTCGCGGACCAGCACCGGGCCGTCCCCGGCGCAGCCCGCGGCGCGGAGGAGGGGGCCAAGGCCCGAGGCCTCGCGGGCGCGCAGCAGCGCCAGGAGCGCCTCGCAGGCCCGAGCTCTTCCTCCTCCTCCTCCTCCTCCTCCTCCTCCTCCTCCTCCTCCTCATCCTCCTCCTCCTCCTCCTCCTCCTCCTCCCTCCTCCTCCTCCTCCTCCTCCTCCTCCACCACCTCCACCTCCACCTCCTCCTCAAAAGAAAACAAAACTCGCCAAGAAGCTCCAAGAGGCCCCCAAGAGGCTCCCAGGGCCCCGAGAGGCTCCCAGGCGGCTCCCCAGAGGCCTCCAAGAGGCTCCCCAGGGGCCCCCCAAGCTGCCCCCCCCCCAGAGGCCTCCGAGGGCGCTCCGAGGAAGCCCCAGACAGAATCCCTGAGGACTCTGACCCGCGTCAGCGCCGTCGTCGTCGTCGTCGTCGTCCCCCTCTTCAGGGTCGGCGGCACCCGCCGTGCGAGGCCTTCGAGGGCAGAACTCGCTGGGGCCGCGCGGCAGAGCTCGCGGAGTGGCGCTGGACACCCCTCCCAGGCGCGCGGAGCGCACCAGGGGCGGCGCCAGGAAGCTCCAGGCGCGGCACGGAGCCGCCCCTGTTGGAGGCCTGGAAATGGGCACCAACACCAACACGGGGGGGGGCCTCCACAGGGGGAAGAGGATCCCAGACTTCGGTGCTGGTGGCAATACTTCGGCCACCTTGGAAGCCAGAGCATTACCACCATCACCGGGATCGAGATCTTCTTCCCTCGGTGGAGGCACACCGCCGAAATTGGTGTTGGTGTCAACCTCTGGGCCTGCGAGAGCCGCCCCTGGCCCGCTCGGCGCGCGCCCCGCGCGCCCGGAAGGGGGGTCCAGCGCCGAGCCAAGAGATCCGCACGGACCTCCAACAGCTTATGGTGAACGTTTCCTGATTCGGCGTTTCCACAGTGGCCGGAAACGGGGGGAGGGGGGTGTCTGCTTCCGGACCTCTGCTTAGTGCGAATGCTTGCAGCAGTGCGTCCCGCGGGGGAGACCCCACCTGCTCGACGCGGGCACCCGAAACAGCCAAGACCTACTCTTTGGGGGGGGAGGGGGCCCGCGCCGATCGGCGAAACAATGAATCAGAAAACGAACACTCATGTTTCAGCTTATGTTCAAAGCGGCTGTGTATGTCGGGAGCGGCCAAGAGGGGGGTGTCCAGGAGGGAGGGTGCAAATCATGGCCGGCGGCATGTGCGCGGCCCAGCGGGGAGGCCAGGGACGTAATGAAATAAGAAGAGGCGCCACGAGATCTGGGGAAATATCATGGCCCCCGCCATGATATCCACCCCCCCCCTAGTCATCACCCCCCTCTTTTCCGCCCCCGAGTATGCTTCGATGGACGAAGGCCTCCGGGCTAACAGGGGATATGTCGACCCCTGTCCCAGACCTCGGCAAGTCGGGGCCCGACCAAGTGACATACGATGGGCGGGGGGGCGTCCGCCCTCGATGGGGGTGCGCCCGAGTAGCCCCTCGGGGTATACCCCAAGGCACACTTAACCGTCGATTCCCCAGAACAGATGGGAAAATATGGGAAGTGGGGGGAAGACAAAAACCAAGAAAATATGCGAAAATATGGGGAATCCTGTTATATGTGTGTATATAATTGTGTGTCCTAGGGCCCCTTCATTTAGCCTTGACCACCAGGAAGAATTTCGAGCGCCCACAAAAGTAGCGGAACGCAAGGGTCTTCACGTGGAGTGGGGGAGTGGGGGAGAAGAACCGCCTGCGGGGTGCTGGTGAAGACGCCCTGGGACACACAAACAAATACGCACAAAGAACAGGATTCGCCATATCTCACTATATTTTCTGGGTGTTCGCCTTCCCCCTCCCACTTCCCATATTTTCCCAGATGTTCTGGGAGTCGACGATTAATTGTGTCTGTGTTTTTGTCCCCTCCTTAGCTGGATCGCTTCGCTTCTCCTCCTTGCGGTATCGATCGTGATTGTGCTGCGCGATGAGCTGATTCTTTCTGCATTGAATCAAGTTTGGTTTCTAAGTGTGTTGTGAAAACACTTTGGTTTTTTTCCCCTCCTTACTCCAGATTTCGTAATAAAAGGGAGGGGGTCTGGACACTCCAAGACAAGCCATTTCAGACCTCCCCCGTGGGAGAACCCTCCAAAACATCGTCCCCAGACCCCCCCAGGCCCTCCAAGATAGCCAGGAAGAGACCCCCCCTCGAAATGAGACCCCCCTCCCGTTATTACGAAATCTGGAGTAGCTGGATCGCCTCGACGGAAGGTCGAACCGCGTCGGGCCCGGGGCGGGGCGCCCGGGCGAACCGCCCCCGCCCCGGGTCGGGGCCGGCTCGCCGCGCCCGGCTCCCCGGCCGGGCCCTGGCCGCTGCCAGCGAGCCTGATGGAGCGCCACGCGTTTGGGGCGGCTGCCAGTGCCCCCCCCAAAAAAGGCAACAAGCAATCAAACAACAACAACAACAACAACAACAACAACAACAACAACAACAACAACAACAACAACAATAACAATCAAACAACAACAACAACAACAACAACAACAACAACAACAACAACAACAACAACACTCAAACAACAACACTCAAACAACAACAACAACCAATCAACAACAACAACAACAACAACAACAACAACCACAACAACAACAACACTCAAACAACAACAATCAAACAACAACAACCAATCAACAACAACAGCAACAACAACAATGGCAACGACAACAACAACAATCAAACAACAACGATGACAACAACAACACAAATAATCAAACAACAACAATCAAACAACAACAACAACAACAACAACAACAACAACAACAACAACAACAATGACAACAACAACAACAACAACAACAATAAGACGAACAATAACAAATAAAAGGAAAACGTGTGATGCTCATGTTTCTGAAGTCACCTGTGGCCAAGAGAACGTGCGACGCTCCGCCGAATCGGATCGACTCGGGATCTAGCCAGCGAAGCGACCCGACTCGGGATCGAGTCAGCGAAGCGAAGCGCATCGAACGGGGTCCTATTAGGGATGGATGGGGTGTTACTACGGCCCTATGAGGGATGGCCGCAGATCGAATAGTTTCCTACAAGCGATGGATGGGGCTCAGATAAGATCCTATGTGGAATGGATGGGGTTCCGAGAAGATCCCACTAGGGATGGCGAAGCAATCATAGGACCCCAGTGGGCATGGATGGAGCTTCACTGGGATCCCATTAGACATGGATGGAGCTCGAATAGGGTCCGATCAGGGACGGATTGGGCTCTGATCGGATCCTATGCGAAACAGATCGCGGGCTGCACCCGCCCGCCGGGCAGGCGCGGGCGCCGCCAAGAGTTCCAGCGCCCCAACAGTTTCTCGTCACTCTCGGCCCAGGGAGGGGGCCCTCGCTGCGCCCCGCGGGCCCCAAGATAATCGCCAGCGCTACCCGGGTGGGTCGGGGGGGTAGTCCGGGTCACGAGCGCTAGTGCCGGGGGAGGAATCAACAAAAAAACAAAAGCATATGTACATGTACTTTTATATGTATATTTATATATAAATACATATATACATATATAATTATATATATATATATATATATATATATATATATATATCATATATATATATATATATAGTATATATAATATATATATATATGCATGCATATCATATATATAATATATATTATATATATATATATATACACCACAACAAAAAAACACAGGCCCATGACGCGGGAGGGAGCGGCGGCGCCTCGCGAGGCAAGCGCAAGCGGCGCCGGGAGGCCAGCTCCCCCAGCTGCGCGGCGCCCTCGGGACAGACCTTCTTGGCGGAGCCGGAAGGGGCGCCGACATGCCGCGGCTCCATGGGCCCAGTCCGTACGCTGAAGGTTTCCGCGGGGGGGGGCCAATGGTCTGCTCCTACTACGACGCCGACTACTGCATCTGCTGCTGCTGCTGCTGCTGCTGCTGCTGCTGCTGCTGCTGCCACTGCTGATGCTGCTGTTACCACTCCTGCTACGACTGCGCCTGCGACTACCACTAATACGACTACTACTACTACTACTACTACTACTACTACTACTACTACTACTACTACTACTACTACTACTGCTACTACTGCTACTACTACTACT